ATTGTTTTCAGCAGAAGGGAGCTGTTAGAAGCTCAGCAGAAAGATCCATTTTGTCGAAAGGTGTTCGACGGGCTCCGGGAGCCGGGTGGTAGTGAGGCCACCGCGCACAAGGGGGCAGCTGGTATTGCTGTCGGTGCGGAGCGCTCGGCAACAGCTGGTAGTGCTGTGAGCGCGCTGGATTCATATCTGCTAGATTCTGACGGCGTCCTGCTGAGGTACATTCCATCCGACGATGACACAAGTGAGTCATTAAAGTCGTGATACCGCGCGCGTTGAGAGGAGCGCTTCTTCGCTACTTTCATGACTCGTGCATTGGTGGGCATGCGAGCGGCCCTAAGACTTACGCTAAGTTGTGTCGCCTCGCTACCTGGCCAGGTATGAAGCGGGATGTGATTCGCTACGCCCGTTCATGTCGTGTGTGCCAAAGCGTCAAGCCGCGAGGAGGACGTCCGCCCGGCCTCATGCAACCGATTAACAGTCAGACTCCCTGGCAAATCGCAGCGTGTGACGTAATGGGCCCGTACCCCTCAACTCCTAGCAGAAATAAGTTCTTGCTGGTGATCACGGATCACTTCACTAAATGGGTAGAACTTTTTCCCCTTAGGAAGCTGACGGCTCGAGTGATTTTAGAGAAGTTGATGGAGGTTTTTACCAGGTTCGGGTTCCCCGAGCAGTTGATTACAGACAACGCGTCTTATTTCACTGCGAAGGTGTTTGTTGACACGTGCGCCGCGTTGGGCATTAAGCACAAGAAAACAACCACCTACCATGCTCAGTCGAACCCCACGGAGCGAGTCAATCGCAACATCAAGCACATGCTTGTCGCGTTCTCTGAAAGACATAAGGACTGGGATACCTATCTTCCAGAGATCGGTTTTGCATTACGATCGACCGTAAACCGATCGACTGGGTATGCGCCTTCTTCTCTGAACTTGGGGAGAGAACTGCCGAATCCGATGGAGACCGTACTCGCGGACCGCAGTGGAGTGCCAGTGGCGACATCAGCACGCGCTGAATACGCAACGCAGCTGCGCGAGAAGCTAGCGGAAGCTTTACATAAAGCTCGACATAATCTCCGCACTGCTAGGGCACAGCAGAAGGCGCAGTATGACCGCACGCGTAGGAACGTACACTACGAAGTGGGCGATCTGGTGATGCGGCGCCATCATGTTCTCAGTAATGCTAGCAAACAGTTTGCTGCCTCGCTGGCACCGAAATGGTCCGGGCCGTACCGAGTGCGAGAGAAAGTTTCTTCGCTCGTTTATCGACTCGCGAACATGAAAGGCAAACCGAGCGGCGGACCGGTGCATGTATGTGACTTGAAACGCTACATAGCACGGGAGGCGCATGAGGACTACGGTCAGTCCCCCTCCAAGCCGCGCGCGGCGGGTGAGATGGTTCGACACCGGGTCAGGAGCCCAGAACCGCGCTACTTCCTGCGTAACAGTCGGAGGCAACTATGCACGGTAGGCCGCGTTTGATATGTTCGACGCGGGGTGCAAGGGTTAGCGCGCAACACATGTGCGATTGTTAACCTGTCGTTCTTTATCTGTATCACTCTCACCGAACAGATGGAGCGCCATTGGGAACAGCACCGCCGGAACAGCAAGGAGAGGAGACCACCTCCTTACGGCCAGCCCCCACCCCCACCAACGTCCACATGGCAGCCCTACCCCACTGCGGCCCGGCCGCGAACGCCGAGGCAGAGCCACTCGAGCCGCCGCCACCGAGGGGGTCCGCGCGCGCTGCCGCCTGGTCACCAACTCTCGGCTTCGCCGTCACCATCACGACCCGCCGGTTCACAGGGAACGAGACCAGGGTCCCAACGCGGCGAGCCGACCGCATCGCCTCACGGCCGCAACCACCGAGACGTGGCAACCTGGACCAGCCAGGATGGAGGCGACCCTCCGGTGTCTTACGTCTCCTCGAGGCCCTGGCGCCGGCAGGAAAGGGCCCGAGTTGGGGTCGCCCCAGCGCACCTGTATCGCCCTTTTCAGGGGCGCACGGTAGAGGACGCGGACCGGAGGGCTAACGGGGCTTGCCTTCCAGTGCCCGCAGGGACGCGGTTCTGCGAGTGCGGCGCCGTGGTGATCCATAACTCCCACGAATTGGGGAAATTACACCGGCACCGCACCCAGGCTACCCAACCATCCAGCCGCGAATCATCCCAGGAGCGCTCCGGCGCCGCGGTTCGGGCCATGCTGGCGCGGGCGGCCCAGGAGGCGGACTTCGCGCAGTGGCTGCTGAGAGTTGCCTCAGGCCACGCGTCCAGCGAGAGTCCGCCTGCGCCGCTATCAATAACGGCTACCGTAGAGCGGGGGGCGGCGGGGCCGGGAGAGACATTGGTGGCGGCTGCATTGACACCGGAGGTGGCGTCAATGACCTTGGAGGCGGGTGAGAGAGCGGTGGGGGCTCCGGCGGTGCCCGCGGCAGACACCGAACGGTCCGAGGGCATGGACGTAGACCAGGCCCTTCTGGCCTATCTAGAGGACGAATAAAACGAATTATTCCCTCTTTGCAGTCTCTGTCGTTCGGGGGCCTTCTTAAGGGGGGAGGAGATGTGGGAGCAGGTGCGCCCAGCCTCCCTTTCCCTTTTAGGGCAGCGCACGCGCCTGGTTGCGGGGACCCCTTCCCCCACGGCCGGCGCGTGCGATTCCCCCCCCCCTTTCCCGGCGCCAGGAACAGGTTCCCCTCTCCCTCAGCGAGGAAAGGTGCCATTCTCGTCAGGGAAAGGGAAATCGGGTCGGGGAACAAAACGAGCGGGGCAAACGGGCGCTCGCTCTCTGACACCAGCGACCATCCAGGAGGACGAACCCGCAACCCCTCCTGCGAGCCGAGGACGTCCACGACCGAGGTGTAAGCGTCAACACCTTTGTTATCTGTAGTATCTCCCCGCGACAGTGACGCGCGATTGCTAACGCTTAGCAATAAAGTGTTTGTTGTTGATCTGGCCAGTTGCCTTATTCGCCCGAACCCGTAGTAGTAGCTGCAATGAGGCAAGCTACGGTTGGGGGACGTTAACCGTGCACGGAACGACTGTGTGCGGCTGAAACATTAGCTATAGGCTTCTGCGTCAGCCGTACATAGGACACCCCCCCAACAGCACATATTGTGGCCGGGCTCTGAAATCGCATGAAGGTGACGTGGGCGAGATGCAAAAGGCTGTGATGGCCACATACCGCCACGTCACCTCCACTGATGAATGCTCGGACCACAGTCTGTGCCCAGCTGGTGAAACTTCATGGTGTCGGCACAATGCCGCAAAAGCAAAGGGTGAGCCCGACCCCAGGCATGCCTACAATCTACCGAAAGACGTGGCAGAGGCATTACTACCGGTTTATACCCGGCTTTCGGAAAGAGCCCTGCTTCAGAGGTGCGAACGCGGCAAAACGCAGAACTCCAACGAGAGCCTACATTCGGTAATCTGGAGCTTGGCCCCCAAGGAGCACCATGCGTCCCTGTTCGCTGTTGAAGCAGCTGTTGCAGAAGCAGTGCTGCGCTTCAACACGGGCAATTTGAATTCTGCAACGGCAATCTTAGGTGAAATGGACATGAATGCGACAAGTACTGGTGCCAGGAGAGCGAGAGAAAAAGACCAGCGTCGCAGCATTGTCTCCAACAAGAAAAGAACAGCCTCATTGGAACTCCGGAAGCTAGTGAAGAGGAGGCATGAGCACAGAATGCATTCAGACTATGCTTCTGGTACGTTTTGAGGTTGTCTTGTTGCATCTTCTGCAATAAAAATGTGTGCCCACGTTTTTTCTCGATTTCTCAAAACGACAATTTTCATGTGCTTCCCATTATGCCGGAGCAATATCTCTTGTTCTATCTGGGTTATCATTACGATTTCTTTTCTGTTTCAAAGATAAATGCAGGGGATGTGTCGTAAAGTAAGTTTTATTGTAATAATTTTTGGAGAAAATTCTCTAAATGGATCTTTTGTTTCAAGTGTAGATGGGGAAATTTTTCATGTCATATTCAACATCCCACAACTTTGCTTCGAAATAGCCCAGAACAATGATTTATACTTTATTGCACACTGTGAACATACCGAATTGGTTCTATAGGTTGCACATCAATATCCAAGTTACAGTTAATTAGCTAATTAGGCCTTAATTGAAAAAGTCGCAGTTCATTATATCTTTAAAACTAATTGTCACAGCAAAAAAAGAATTAGATTTTTGAAATCAGCAGTAAAATCTACATAGGCTCTCCAAATTTGACTGAGGTACTCGCAAAAATAAAAAGAGTTTTTGGAAGGTGTAGCATCCCCCCTTAAAAAGAAAAACAATACAGCACACGGCAGCGGGTGAAATGGGGAGGGAGCGTGCTGAGCTGGCCGAGGGGGGGTTGCCATAATAATAAAAAAACGGGAGATATCCAACGGGCAAAGAGGCACCAGGTGTCGGTTAGCGGGACTGCTATGGATGAATGTAGGGGGTGTATTTATTACACAAGCGAAAAAAAAACATCCACGCTTTCATGGCTGAAGCGGGGGGGTGCGTTTAATATGTAAGTGCATTCATTATGCTAGTAAATACGGTATCTAGCTAGTGACACGGCTACGAGTGCACCAAGAGAGTCATGTAACTCATTCCATACATGACATGCATGCCATGAGTTTCGTGTAACCACCTGCCATTAATTCTGTCACTCAGTACCAATTTTGATAGATATCATGGTAGCAGAACAGTCCCGAGAAGATTGTGAGTGTGGCACGTACACACCAGACACCTTGCAAGCAAATGAACCTCCTCTTAGGACTTTCTACCGCGAAAATGCTGTGGTGTAAATAAGAAGGAACTCTGGGCTATATGCAGATGAAAAGTGAAGTTCACCTGCCACATGATGTCACTTGCCGGGTTAACCTTAAAGGCGTGCTGCAACATTACAAACACCTTATGATTGAGAGTGACATTAATTTGCGCTCTCATGTTTTTCTAAAGGCCATCAAGTTGAAGTAACATGAATAAAGAGACATCATCGGTTGTGCTGTTTACCTTCCATTCCAGCACCAAGATGAAGTGAGTGCCGGTTGAGGAGGTCCCTTTGTCGCTGCTGAAGCTGCAGCAGGGTGGTGCCAGAGGTGTGAGGAGGTGGTGCCCCTTCTGCTGCTGAAGCTGATGATCCCTTGCGCGAGTCGGTGAGGTCGATGACCTCGGGCTGGTCTTTCATTTCTTGTGCGACAGCGGCTTCAGTCTCCTCTTCCACGTGCTCCACTACCTGGCTCTTGCTGCCCGCCCGAGTCAGCACTGTCTGCCGAATGTGCTAAGGACAAGACAAGAGAACGATGATCCCCAGCAGAACAGTACGAACAAGTATTTTAAAGTTATAGCTTCATCTTTCGTATAACTGAATATCAAGCACATATACTGTTGATCCCGCATATATCTAACCTGAAGGGGATTGCAAACTAGTTCGATATATCAATAAATTGAAATACTGTAACGAGCAGCATGGCTGCTCGATACATCATGCAAGAAATTTAGGACAAATCTGTTGCAGTTAGCATAGCAAAAATTGAAAAACATTCAAAGCAACGACATTTTATTGTCTCCCATGTGGTAGCTGTGCTCACCTGCTTGAGCAAGTTGTGTTGTTGCTGTTGCTCAAAGAGTTGTGCGTTGAGCAGCACACCCTGTGGCTGCAACATTGGATGTCCAAGGGGTAGTGGTGCTGACTGTGTCCTGCCCAGAGGACGATGGATGGTCCTGGCATTCGACATGGAAGTAAGCACACATGAATACTCAGTGTCAACAGCTCTTTTTGTGTCACTTTACATTTTTTTGTCAGCAAGAATGATTAGCATATTTAAGTCAGACAACGTATGATGCTCCAAGCAACACATGCATTCAGGCAAAAAAAATTTACTTTCACTCTTAAGCAATAGCTTTAAGACAAAAGTTACGAAAGTATAGATGAGAATACAACCTTTCTCAGATAAAATAAGCACCAGGATAACCAAAACAAATTTTAGTCGCTCTGGCAACTAAAATTTATCTTTTGGTAGCCCTTGCAGTCATCTTCTCTTAGAACAGGTGTACTCTGCACGTTCATTTCATCTTAGAAGTTAAAAAAATGGATGGGGGCAAATACAAGCTCATGCTATGCAAATAGTCACTCTGCAGTTCAAAAGCTAAATCATGCATGCAAAGTGTGACAGCAAGTGGAAAAAATCTAAAACTCTAAAGCATAAGTAATATCTCTGAATTCACTGTTTCAACTTATTTATTATCTAATGCTTATTTTGGCTTGAGCCCGCAAAACTTGGCAAGCCACACTACACAGGAAGCCACAAAATCAACTTCAATGGTGAAGTTGATTTAAATGGTGAAGTGACACAGCATACAGCGTCGCCTTTTGTCCTTGTCCTTTTAAGCACTAAATTTTAAGACATGATTCATTTGATGCTTCCGAGTGAAGAGACTTTCATCAAGTCCTTCAGATGGCCAATGACGCCCAAGACAAGCTGGAAAAAAGCATTTTATGGCTGTCCCGGTGAATAGTGCTCCATTTAGAGAGTGGATGCTTCCCACTTGCTTAGCCTTGTGGAATACCAAAAGCAAACTAGAGGTCTCCAGCAGTATAGTAGCAGCTCCAGGAGGCACTGAATGTCAGTTACACAGCGAATACAATCGAGGACAGTGTTGGTGAACAGATAAGATTTGCACAAGCCTACTGATAAGTAGGCTTGTGCAAATAGTATATTTTAGGTTCGAAGCAAATAATTATTTTGGTAGAATAATTTCGAGTCGAGTTTGAATAGTATATACATTGCATATTATAAAGGATAAAGGGCATATTTGTCATGACCTAACTAACCAGCACAATATTGAAAAAACTGAAACAAGGCCTCAGCAAATGCCATTTTCTTGCATCAAGGAAAAAAGCTTTTTATAGTAGCAGAATTGGACTTTTGGTAGAATGCAAATGATAGCCTGTAAAATATGTTACGTTACAAAATTTTCTATACATGGAGTATATAAATCAGCATAAGAACCTTTTCAACTTAAAAAAAGATTAATCGATGTGAGGGTAATATCCTCTATTAACTTTGAAGTGGGGCTTTGCAGCAGTAGTGATTTCCCCTGAATAGCTGCTCTCATGGTTTCGCGCCTCTCCGCGGCAGCGAAACAATCTTTACAAAGTGTCACACCCGGATGAACGCGCACTTACTCGTTTGTTGTGGGTAATTCGAATACTGCATTACTCGTTCGAATATTCAAAGGATTCGAATATTCGCGCAAGCTTACAAATCAGTATTGTTGCAAGATCTTTGCATTGGGTTACGCTAGGTCGGGGGAGGCAAGGTTACAGCGAAATCCCTTTTCAGAAGCTTGCAGCTACGGCAGTGAGATTATTGAGGTATTGCGAGCTGGAACAAGAGTACTGACCTGTGTAGGCGTGCTTGTGCAACCTGAGCGTCAGTGATAACAGTGCCGGGAGGCGGCGCGTACATAACTTGCAGCACGTGCCCTGGAGCTCCGGGTGACTGTTCCAGGCCTTTCATCTGCTGCTGGATGTAGCCAGGACTGGTTGGAGGAGTGAACTCTCCATCTATTACTGAATGTACGACAGAACAGATTGCAAGGCACAGTAAGGATAAGTGATGACGATAAAAGGTAAATGAACAGGGCACGGAGACTGGCACTGAAGGCTTTACATGTAGCAAACTTGGGGCATAAGGCCTGCCCAATTAATACTTAGCAGAGACTTATAAAATCATCCTCAAACAGCTGAAAGTACCACGGTACATTAAATTACACTGCTTATTTAAGCCACTGCCCAGATAGAAACGGAGCTCCACAATCATGTTAAGCATCCCCATGTATGCGCACATCTCAACATTAAAAAAAATTATTAGGAAATTGTCATCAGGGTCAAGAACAAAATAAAACTTGAGATATACATCAACATTGATTTCATTTACACATAAAACCTAACAAAAATACAGATTTAACTACATTAAAATAGTGAATAACGACAGAAAATCAACATTGCATAAAGTTTCTTAAAGAATGGCAGGTAAAAGTGCAAAGAGTACACAGGTGAAAAAAGGCCCACATACACACTCACGTACACACAGGCCACCAGCGTATGTCTATGTGTGCCTTTTTTGGGGCCATATGCACATTCTTTCTGAATTTTTACCATTCCTCAAGAAATGGATTACAAGCATGCCCAGCCTGCCAAGTAAGTATACATTGTCTGCATGTGAGAATAACCATTCGGAGGGCACTTGTGCCACAGTGAGGTGGCTGCAAAACTGAACAAAAGCAACAAAGCCAGAAATCCAACAGAAAAAAATCCCACCTGGCAATGGTGAGCAGAAAGGCAATGATGAGTGCAACACATGTGATGTGAGTGGCATCCCAAGACGTGCAGCTGCCATGGCACGGACTTGGGCCTCGGAGACAGAGTTGAGAATTTTCCCATCCTGAGTTTGCAGAAAAATGGTGCTGCTTTAAACACAGAGCCCTGCTGTAATAGGTGTAGCTACAGAGCTTGTTGATGCGGCATAAATTATAAGCTACGTAAGTTTATTGAAATGCTCTATCCTGCATTTTACACACATTTAAAACTAGCAGACAAGAGCTTCAGCATATCAGAAAATGCAAGCTACCATGTAATTCATGTAATACAGTGAAATAACCTTTTTGTTTCACAAATAAAATTTGCTCTACACAACAGAAACTTGGCGAGCGTCCACGCAATCTGAGCCTGTCAAAAGGGATCCAAGCAAATTTCTCAACAGAGGTATCTTAACAGCTGACGAGAATGATGAATCCTTGCTTTCTTTCTAGTGAATTTTCCTTCCCTTAGAAGGTTATATAGATTCTTCAGGCACAAATTATATTGAAGTGGATGCAAATGCATGAAATTAGTTTGACAAATGGTTAAAAGGCACTCAATGCTACATTCCAAGAAAGAAAATAAAAGAATGTGTTGTTTTGTGTGAGTCCCAGTAATTAATCTTAATTAGCATGTAATTAAATATTTCCTTATTCTGTTATCAGTGAGCTTCAGTTCTTGCATGAAAAGAATTGAATGTTATACCCGAAATGTGAGCATAGTTAGTTTTTGGTTGCATTTGTTTCAGGTGAAGAAAAAATTACTCTCGACATGGGCACTGGTATGCGACACGTCAAACAATCATCGAAGCATGGTAGTGTCTCCCGCAAAATTATTCTCTGCTGAAATACGCAGCTGAATAAAGTTAAATGACCATTAGTTTTCCACTCAGAAGCCTGCACTAATGTGCATACTAAGTTGGAAGCTACTTGAAGAAACATGTGGTGCGTGATGTGCCTCCAAAGTTGATGTGTACTGATTTCACACAGCTGTTGAAGGGGTTATGGCCATGTGAAAAAAAAAAAAAATCCCAGACTTTACCAGATTGCTCCTGCTAGAAACTTGTGATGCAAAGTATTCTCTCACAATGAGCATTCCCTTCTCAACAGCAACTTTCTTGCAATGTACTTCTTGGCTACAGTGTTGCCTGCAGTCACTTCTAATACACAAGTCCCCACTCTAAATGTCTGTGTGGCATATAGACACTGCACAAATTAGCGAACACCAAAGCCTGAACAAAAATATGCTGATTAGTACGTCTACATCCCAAATTAATAGGTGTAAGAATGAGCGTGAATGGCAGTGGACAAAACATTGTTGCTGTTTTTTTTTTTGCCTCATGATGATAGTGAAAGTGAAGAATAGGATGTGTGGTCCAGTGACAGCAAGATAGAAATGTGGCAATAATTACAATGGTCAGTTGCTGTTGCCATAGTGGAAAAGGTATACAGGTCACAGAACCCTGCAGTTTAAAGCATCAGTGTGCTGGTCATATTAAATAGAACGCGAAGGGAGAGACTCACGGCTGTGCTGGTGGCCACAGGGGGACGCCCCAAGGAGATGTTGGGCATGGAGGGTGATGAGTAGAGCGCGAGATCACTGTTGCCACCCTGGTTCAGAGGATGGTACGGAGAAGTGCCAGGTTCCTGGGAACGTTCCAATCACAAGCACAGCTGTGTCAAGACTTGCGCTTGGCCCGGACATGCGAGGAAGTCACTGAGCTACACTAAAAGCATAGTAGTCAACCCATAAACTGTAAGATTAGCGAACTCCCCATGACAGGACACGAAAGAAAGGGCGGGGATATGAAGATGAATAGCGCAGATTAAAGAAAAAATTTTACCTGAGTGCATGCCTCCTTTGAGATATGTGTACACTTCATAAACAAAACAGCTTGCCTTAAGATGCAGGCCACATGCTCCAGCCCATGCAGGTTAGCACGAACTGACAGGCTAGGACATCAGCATCATTGAAATAGCTCATTTCAACTGCTTCAGAAACTTTTCTAAACAAAGTTGTGAGAATCATATTATGAGGTGACAATTGAAACTTTCACACCAAAAAAATTTACTGCTTGTAAATATTGACAAAATGTTTTTAAAGTTACAGATAAAACCCAGATTTGTTAACTTATTTGCAGAAAAAGGACAGGAAGTTTACTGAGGTATCCGAGGTATTGAAGGACACATATGCAAAACACGGGCAAAAAAAGTAGGACTTCAAATATTGTCTGTGTAAGGTATGCTGAAAGCTGAGCAGATCCTGAACTGTTCACCTGTCTGGCGAAATCATGTCACAAGAGTTTCTCTTAACAGCAATTTATTTATCAGCAACTTGTGCCAATTTTCTTTGTGCTGATTTTTTTTAGTGACTGTCCTAGAGACACAAGATTTCAGTGAAAATAAAAGCGAAGCAAATAGTCGTCTAGCAGTCACACCTTGAAGACATGTTGTCTAGAAGACATTGCTTCATGGCAGGAAGCTCCAGAAATATTTTAGTTTTAGGAGAAAAGCAGACACACGCACACAAAGCTCCCATGGACAAAATAACCCCCACGCTGAACAAGAATAGGTCTTGGCTTTGCTACGGTCTGCAACACTTGTTAACGGCTTGAGGTAAGAAAAACAAAACCCACAAAAGTGGTCCTCCTTGTTGGCTCAACTTGACACGTGTGCGTGTGCACCTAAAAATACGTGCCACAACTTTCCAGTGGAAGAAACAGCCTGACTGGCGAATCTAAAAACAACCTCGCCCGTCTAACCAGACTTCTCCACTCTAGAAAGTGCTGGTGTGGCAAGCGGAGCATTTCCAAAAACAGCACTTACACAAAATTGAGAGATTTGGTGACAAAGATGAATAGATTCTACATTTGGTGGCTGAGATAAGCCGGTAAGCATCCTCGTAAACAAATTGTTCCATCTAGGAAAGTCATGCAAAGAAAACTGGTCAAATGTGCAGCTGCCAACATAAAAATAATGTCTGTCATTAGCATCAGTTATGTATCATAACAGGTTAAAATATTTATAGCTATTGTTCTTCGATTTCGAACTGTGCCATTTGTTACACAGTGTATCTTTAGCTAGTCTTGCTACTTTAGTGACAGCCATCACAGCTTATACTATTTATGAACATGGGATACAAAGAGTGCTGAAACAAAGAAAATATAGGTACCTGCTAGTAATGAAATTTAGAGAAACTATAAAATAAGTGTAGGGTGGTATTCTGCACATAAGCATACAGCAAGCTTTAAGGTGATAAAAGGATACTTCTTTGAGAAGCTACAAGGCTGGTGTTGATTTCCTGAATCAACAATTGAGGTGAAAAAAATGACTAGAACCAATAATCTGTTGGATGACAGGGTCCAAAGAAATGTTCAGTCATGCTTCTATAACGTTACTTTATCGCTACTCATCAGTGTCTACATATTGTTACATCGATAGTAGTATGGCAATGAAAATTCAGATCATGGTCTGACATAGTTTTTTTTGTTTTCCTCAAGTAAAGTGCATTGGGGAGCTGGTACAGCATTCAAAATGAGGACAAGACACAAGGAGAAGAAGTAGATAGCATGAGCCCAGACTTACGAACTGTTTTCACTCGGTTTGTTTGCGTTATATCTACCTTCCTCCCTTTACGATAGTACATCCTTTACAATTCAAGACGGGACGTCAGTTTTTGGAAGTCCCAGAATTAAATGCACATGCACGAGAGCACCTTCCTTTTTTGCTTACTTTGGTTTCTGCACTCATCTCGGTACTACTTCTTTTTTTTCTCTTTTCACGGGTACTATACGTACCACGCATGTGAGCTCTCAAGAGTGCAGGAAGCCAGCGTCTATAATTAGCGGCAACCCCCAGGGTGCGTGCACTATCCCCCAGGCTGGCACGATATCTTTGGACTCGCCAAATATAAACAGAGCTGCCTTTCCTTTCTTCTGCTGTGCCCCTTTCTGCACCTCTGGCAGCTCTGTTTTGCCATGCGCCATGACTTTTTGCGCCTTTCTTTGTTCAAGCCCTTCAGATGCATCAGTACAGTTTCGATCGACTTTAATGTCCTTTGCAGTGCTTCACAGGTAATGTGCGTGATGTTAAGGATGTTGTGCAACTGTTGATAATGTACAAGTGAGTGGGTTGTGAAACAGTTGCCCCATGGAAGTAAATGGCGCAATAAGACATATACAGTAAATGCTTGTTATTTTGAAGTATGTTAATTAGAACATATTATTACTTGAAACTAACATCCTGATCCTGGCACAGCTCTGTCTATATGGTGGCAAAGTCCCCATAATTCGAACACATTGGTATCTACAGCAATTATTTTGAAATAGTTGTCTTTGGCAGAAGCCAGATTAAAGTTTTGACAACAAGTCATAAAACCAAATGATATTTCCCCTGAGACCCATAACTTCGAAGTTCAAATTAACGAACTTTTACTGTATAGTGGAATAGACATAGAGGAAGTGTTTAGTAACAATCGACATTATCATTCACCAAATAGACAACTGCTGCTGCACATGGAAAGACTGAATTGTGCGCACATATGAATGACTAGGAAAAGCTGCCTTTTCTGTACGTATTACAAGATGGTAAATTAAGCAATACCTACTAAGCACTCGGGAAGCTTTCTGGTCCGTATAAGGAAGGACTCCGAACTGTTACTATGGGTAATACTAAGCTCACTGTTTTCAGAATTCTTGTACTTCTGTACCAGTCCTGTATGTGAAAAGATACATCTCATTTACAGTATAAGAACTGTTATTAGCATTTAGTCTAAATGTCTCTGATGAATTTCTTTTTTTGTGCTGAAAATGCTTTCAAGTTACCTTGCTTAGACAGAGAAAACGAGCTCCATATTTGCCCAACTTTGGGGAAGAATTTTCAACTAGTTGATAACATTTCCAGCAGCAGAGCTGTCCTAAGTGTAGATATTATAGTTGCAAGAACATGCTTATTACACATGAGTGCAACAAAGTACATGAAGATATGCCATCTGTAACTTAAGGAGCATGTACTCACCTCCTGAATGGGTGTGCTACCGTTACTGGAATGCAGAGAAGAGTGCAGGGACAGGGAACCGTTTGGCGGGGAACCTTCTGATGAGTCAGGTTTGCTTCCACTGCCATCAACTTTTTTTTTCGTAAAGGCAAGGCGAAGAAATGAGAATCACCATTAGAGCCTACACCCAAACCCAAATGGCTATTTCACAAGTTTTTGCAGAATAAATAAATAAGCCCCCCCTCCCCCTTTTTTTTTCCATTGTGGAGATAATGTCCCAAACCTGGTATTTTGAACAGGTTTAATGTTGAACACGTTTAATAAAGGGCATTGTAATGCGCATTTAACTGATGAATTGTGAATACAGCAGGTGAACATGCCGAGTCTTTAACTGTTTTACACTATCTGTTGCTTTAAACAATAACCTTTACCAAGTGGCATTTTGAAAAGTTGCTATCAAGGCAGGAACAAGCCAAAGTTCAAAACTAAATTATAAGCCCATTCATGTCAACCACTCACAATTACTTCCTTTTTTTTTTTCATGAACTAAAACAGTTGGAAGGAGTCATGCATCTTCTTCAGAGAATCATAGTATGCAGCATAGGAAACTTTAAGTGCTATGTTGGTTTAATATGAAGTACTTTTTCATGTAAATAAAATAAAACTTCCACTGCAAGGAGCTTACGAAAAGGGGGAAGTAATATAGAAAAAAACATCTAATTTATAATTAACCAATCGTTACAACAGTTTTGCAAGCTGGGACATCATTTGCTCACACATATCATGTTTGGCCCTCAGAAATTGTGCATTTCAATTTTTGTTTTAAGGCAAAAGCCAATGACTTTTCTTTGACAAATGGAATATATCAGGTGTTCCCTCTCCAGTGGTCACTTACTCAAAGTTTTGTGATGTACACAGTAGTAGTTATTTACACAAATGAAAAAACATGTGCAATAAGTGTCAGTTATCATGCCATGCTTAAGCTTCATAATTTCTCAGTATTGTTGTTATTACATAAAAATATGAAAAAGAGACATCAAACATGCAAGCACTCATGAAACTGCATCATGCTACTTCCAGCGAACACATGCCGCAGTATGGGCTCTACTACCGAATTACAACTGTAGCACTGGTGGTTACTACTACAGCAATCGAAAACTGTCATATGATCAGCATAACCAGACTAACAGATAAAGTGAAACTTGGGCATCTTGTAATGAGAACAGTGTACAGAAGGGCACAGCCAAATGAGACAATTGACTTCAACATATTAATAAGTTGGTTTATATATTAGGCTTTCCTACGTTGCCTGAATTTGTGGCTTGAATTTGTGGCCCTTGTCAAGTAATGCTGCTGGGGCATCTGTAGCTGGAAATGAGCACAGCATGTGAAGGCATAAAAGAAAAAAATGAGAGGTAAAGAAAGATGAGAAATATGGAAAGTAGAATGAGTATTGCATAAGAAAAATGTGTTAAAGCTATGCTGCTGGATGTTATGGGCTACCAGTAGGCCCTGCAAAGCACAAGCTGTCTCCTGAGATCACCAATTCATATTTTGATGCCACATAAGGCACTTGGGCCAAAATTCAAGGTATTGATTGATTGAATTATTGATTGATTGATTGAGCACTAAAAACTCCAACCAAAACATGAAAGAAATGGTGAACTCAAACCAGAACATGAAGAGAGATACTGTGACTAGCTTTAGTTTAAAATAAGTGCCATGTACGGCAACTTCCTGTACTTGTAATAATGGCACTGTAATTATGTAAAGCTAATTGAAGTCCTCATAGCAATGTTTAGCTATGACAAGACCTGTAGCTCAGAAAAAGTTTAGATAGTTCTAACTGCCCGAAAATAATCTACCCATTAACACATTAGCATTTCTTTTTTATGCATTGTAAGTATACACCACAGTGTGGAAGAGAATGCTAGACTATAACCACACTTATTAGCAGGTAGGGTGATGTCCAAGGAATTATTATCCTGGCTTTTATCTCATGTTTAAAATGAAATTTCCTTTGTGTAACAGTGTTATTATAAAATGAACTTATTCCAACTACTGTTTTATGGTGAACACCAGGTTTTCTGAAGACTTGTTTTTCAGTAATTCGACTATGACCAGGTGAATATTCAAAGAGAGAACTTAAGGATCAATGAGACAGGAAACATGATAGAGAAATGTACGAAAGGAAGGAATGAAGGTGAGGAGAAGAAGATAGGAAACGGGCAGTGGGAACAGTGCCCGGTGCTTGCATACTTGTAAGCGGCCGCCGCTTCAAAGGAATGGGCCCTTTGTCCTTGCGCCTCAGAAGCGGGCTGCTGCGCCTCTCAATTACTTTTTGCTTCAGCGCAGAGCGCACCTTAAGGTTTGGTTCCGACGCTGGAAGGTGACAGAGAAGGCACACATGCTTGCTTCGAACACATGCTTGCAGGGGCTCAATCAAGCAAGCTGGGACTCCCACACTGTTTTCCCTCAGCTTTTATGTGCCTCAATCAAAGGGGTACTGACAGAAAGCTTTTGGTTGTAGTTTTGTGTCAAATCAAAGGCCAAGCCCTAATGAGCCTAGAGAATGTACTGCTAAGCATGAATTCACCCTTGAAAAGTAATTAAAGTATGTTTTGAAAAGCATACTTAGTTCCTAGTGTACCCTGATGTTACAACATGGTATCGTGCTCATGCAAGACATCATGAAGTTTCTATGGCAACTGCACATTATGGCTCTGTTGGTGATGCATAAGTGGCTATTTTGGAAGCTTTGGTTCCTGATGTCATTACAACTAGCCAGACTGCTGCGTGAAGCCACAAGAATTACAGCTTTAGCCTCGCGTCAAGCTAGTGCTAATGTCGGCAGATGATTTACTGTGGGAAAATTGACTTTAATATTAATTATCAGCATTTGTCGAGTTTTGCACTTGCCCAGAGCTATCTCTGTATATATCAGATTTGTATGGCAGAGTAAACTGACCTTCGAAAAATGGTGTCAGTACCCCTTCAATGACCATGCAAACCCTTTCTTTTATGACTAAAGGAGTTGCTACAAAGCTGCTTGCACCTGCTAGATGTGTCACTGAATGACAAGACCAATTCTATCTGGTATAAAAAACTAAATTATTATCTCTAACAAAGATATTTGTGACCGACAACCACATTTCACCAATAGACATAGTAGCTCAACAGTACGATCAGTGAAGTTTTATAATGCTCATGATGTACAACTCTGCTAAAACTGTACTGTTACTGTGTGAAAAATAGTATTTTAATGGATTAGGATATTAACATATCAGGGCTGAAGTACAATAACATACTGTAACAAAGTGTGTGCTATATGTCCCTGACGACCAGCTTACCTAACAGAACAGCTTTGCATGTTGCCTCAAACGAATGAGGCGCTGTCTCAGGAAAACAACTTGATAGAAGCACAACCGGCAACCAGACAATCCCAAAAGGAGCATGATTATCCACATTAAATGCATGTCCTAATGAAGTAAGGTATGATCAGACGAACATTAAGTGACACATTGAGCATGAGGAGCAAGCAGCAATTTGTAGCTTTCTCAACTATTTTGTGATGGCATCCTTTAATATGTGTAGTAATTGTCACCCGTATTGGCCACAGCTTGCCCAGAAAAATGTTAAGTAGCATTCCACACAGCCAAGGCTAGCATCACACTTCTAAGCAAATGATGAACAGCACAAACCAAACAATTAAAAAACTGTTAGTCATACAATATTCAGTCACTTGTTAGTCCAAACAACTAATTGCAGTCATGTCAACATGAGCAATATTATATTGACATTGAGTGGTACACTAAAATCATGCGTTATCAGTTATATAAAATGCCACAGTTATGCAAACGACACCCCTCAAATGTTCTTAGGAAAGACAGCTGCCAAGTTGATAATTCAGACACAGCAAATACCACTTAAAGGCCAGGATAAAGAGGGGTCTGAAATACTAGATTCACACGATACAATAAGACTTTACTTAACAATTGGCAAAAAAATTTTTCTGAAACCTGATTGGATCATACCTTGAACATTGTCAAGCTGTCGCTACTAACATGTGAATGCACAATGTACTTCAGAATAATTATGCACTATAAAATATGGATACACTTCATAAGGTAGCATGAGTAACAAATTGTAGAACTGTTGCTCAAGCTTTTCTGGATAAGCATTAAATGCAATAATACTGACTTAGCATGGTAACATTAAAACAGAACTGTAAGAAATGTGCCCAAAAAACATTTATGGCAGCTTGGTACTAGGCACCATGGTGCCCTGCATAAATGAAGAGCGTAGCTGGGTGGCCTTCTGCGCTTCTTTCTTTTTCTACCCATTTCTGTCTATTTCTTTCTTTTTCCATTTCTTGTTACTCTATCTCAATTTCTCTTCCTTCATTTTCTTTCTCGTTCTCTCTCTCTGACTCTTTTTTTTTCTTTCTGTCTTGCTCTGTAATTTTTTACCTTTTTCTATATATTTTGGTCTTGCTCTTGTCTTTTTTTGTCTTTATACCCTTTATTCCTCCCTATTTTTCTCTTGATATTTTTGGTGGTGCTCCACTTGGCCAAGAAAAGTTTTCATTTAACTTTTGCACCTGCTGTACTCAATACTGGGGCTTGCCCAATTCCTGCGGTGCATACCTCCCTGTGGGGTTTCGCGCGACAGGGCCCAAATAACAGATAGCCTAAACAGCTTCGCTTTGAATATTAAAACAATAAAAATGTCATCTTCAATCCTTGCACAATCAAATTGTTTTTAGTTTATGATATAACAACAAAGGAAAATGCTAATCTGAGCCATTTAACGCACAAGTACTTGTGAGCTGTTGTCCAGATCATACAAAGCACGAGAAATAACGGGATGTCACAATCAGATAAGGTTATTACAACAACGTGGCAAACATGCGCAGGTGAGAGGGGACGTGCGTGTGACTCACCCGTTTTCCGTAGTGGGAAATCGTCGTCGTACTTCCCCAGAAGCAGATGTCTGCACTGAGGCGAAACAGCGCTTGTTGAAGGAGGCGAAGCTTGATCCAGAGAAGAACGCTGCCTGGACCTACGGAGTTCACAATGTGTGCGGGTAAGAGTACAATCACATAACCACTGCACAACACACAGCCACACATGCGAACTACTTTAACACATGCGACTTTAAGTCGAGGCTGCCACACAAGCAGCCTCGACTTGAAAGAAACAACGTCCCTACTGTTCCACATGCTAGAATCATCATAAACGGGTGCCTGGTGAAGCCTGTTTCAGGATATTGTTATACCTGAGGAATTTCTGTAATCTTGTGCCAACCAAGCCTGCTCTATTTGTGTAAACATGTTGCTTAAGTCGTCAAGCAATCTTATTCTATGCCATCCTCAACTGCACCAATTTTGCCAGCTGCAGTTGGCAAGGATAGTGTAAGGGGCATGCACTTTACATATGAGTTGTATCTTGCTTAGTCCTGTGGAAGCAGCCTGGTTTTTCGCTTTGCTTTCTGTGCGAATATATACAACCAATATAGTGGTGTACTGTTTTACTAGGTGGCACACTTTCATTATAACGTTTTATGAATTGTGCTGAAGTGGCAACAAATAAAATGTGGGAAAGAATGCACAACTTTGAGCACACCCTTAAGCGATGTACCATCGGTTGTACACCTTCTTTCATTAGCTTAACCCTTGATACAACCATGAACACAAGATACCACAGGCAACAAGAAAGAAACAAAGCTAAATAAGAAAGACCTGTTCCTATCAAAGCATGCCTTTTAGCATGTTTTTTTTTTTTTTTCTGGCAGTGATCTCTAATAGCTGGAAACATCCAGAAAGGTTTAACTTCTATGCACATTGTTGAAGCTCACCAGTTTCTGAAATTTGGTGGGGATGTGTTGGCATTGTTAGCTGCTGCTTCCCGCTGCTTCTTGTTCAAGACAAACTCCTGTAGCCTTTGTTTCACTTCAGAAGATGCCACAGCACCTACACAAAAAATATACATTTGTAACACAAAAGTGATTTCATTTTTTACTAGGTGCCTGCAAACTGAACTACACCAAAACTCTAACTTATTTAAGCATTTACAGTGTAATACACTCATAATTATACCAGCACCATGTGCAAGTGCTCGTAACAATCATTCACCTGATTGGCATTCATACCATCTCCACACAAAAAAAAATCACTGATTTACACATTGTATACAATAGTAAACTTGTTTTACTATATAAAAATGCTATTGCACAATGCTGGGCTCAGTAAACACTGTGTCTGACATCATGCAACATGACCGCATAAATAGGGCACACGCGGGTGACTAGAGACATTTCGTTGCTATGCAGTACAAAAGATACCACATTGCAAAACAGATTCAACAAGCATTCATCAGTGCAACCAAAAAAGCATTCATGAGTAGGGCTATTTTTACTCCACTTCATTCCACAGACGAGCACAGCTTTCATTAGAACATCGCATGCAATGACCCGCCCAACAGCACTAAATCGGGAAGCCTCACGACAGCTGCTTGCCTCCTACCCTTTGGAACCAGAGCGAAGTGAGAATTCCAGGGGGGGGGGGGGGGGTGAGCATGATTATGCAACATGCTACTCCTACCCCCCCGACTGTCTGCAATTTTCACCTGGCATGTCTACTCACATGACAGAAGGTGCATTCACGAGAAATAGCAACGCTGCTTTCATTCATTCAGAATAGAAACCTGATGCAGACATACTACGAAGTGCCCTGCTGCACAAACAGCACAGACTGAATGGAAGCGGGCAAGCGTACACACACCTTGCCTACGGCGTGCAGCGACAGATAGGAATGGCATACACTGTCAGAATATACCCACAGTAATAAAAAACAGGCTTGTCAGTGCTCGTTTTCAAGAACAAATGATTAAAAAAGTCACTAGCTTATTCTTTGCACTTAGCCTTTTTAGAAAAGTCAAGTGATAACTTTCTGCTGAGTTATGCAAACAGACACTTCTTATGTTGCACAGCAGAAAAAGTGGTCAGAAAGTGTCATGCGTGCACACGGTAAGTGCAGTGCAAGATACTAAAACCACCACAGCTTAAGGCTGACCAGTTTACTGAAATTTGATCTATACTGCTTAATTATGGGGCTGCTGCAGCAGCAGAGATGTTAGAAAGTGATGAGTGATGCTTCACTGCACAGAAAGTTAGCACACACAAGAATGCAGCCTTATAGTGCATTCAAATAAGGTTTTATTTACAGCAGCTAAGTGATAAATATGTTTTTTCTAAGAGTTATGCCATATGGAAAACACATTGGCTTCATGCATTCATGCCATATGCAACACCTTAGCTCCCTATAAATTGTTAAAACACTTTTGCTTATTTTTATTGAAGTCTGAGTATGTGGCTGATGCTATGTGGCCTTCATTGTAAGAACTCTCAGCATGAAAGCCATTTACTGTATATTTATACATTTGTTCGGAGAGCACAAGCTCACGTGCAGAAGGGGAATAAACAAAATGGAGTAGACTAACTTTGTTCATGCTTGTCCTTTTTGCGGATCTGGTCTAGCTGGCGGTCTTTCTCAATGCGCTCACGTTCCAGTTTGTGCTCTTCCTGGATCTGCCGCTGGTGCTCGAGGTACTCTTTAATTCGCTCCTGCAGCTGCTTCTCGTGCTGCTGGGCCAGCTGCTGCTGCTGCCGCTGGTAGTGCTGAAGCAACAACTGCTGTTGCACCTGCATCCCCGCATAAGCCGGGACAAAGGTGAAGCCTGACATCGCTTGTCACGAAGGTAACAACAAAAGTGCTAAACGGTATCAAACGGGAAATGAAACATTACAGGAAGATTGCTTCAAATCAGAGCTAGTTAGTCATATGCACAGTCTTGATCAAAAGTTCCTGGGCCACGCTTTCATAGAAATACATGAAATAGTGGCCTGGGAATAGTGGCCCTCCCCCTGTACATACTTATGCAAACATATACGTGCAAGGCAGATGAAGACAAAGAACACTATAGACTAGGTGGTGCATCTGCTACAATGGTATGTTTGTGTTCAGCAATGAATAAAATCAGTTTGTAGCTGGTGCCCATCCTGTGTAGTGTTCTTTGTCCTGGTCTGCTTCACACCTAGATGTTTCCGTAAGTGTTCCCCATTTCTTCATCTGTGCTTTTAAGCGCAAAATTGTGGGAAACAAACGTATGATCATGTGAACTTGAGTTTACATTGTTGCAAGTTAGAATTCAGGTGCTAATGTGAAGCCTTGCTAAATTTTGTTTGGCTATTAAGACGGCAATCTACTCTGCTAAAATGTCGTGGTTCACTATTTGGGATGCCTGAATTCGGGCAACAAATTCAAAAAATACAGAAGAGGTCAAGTTTTAGACTATGAAACTAAGCTGTCAGTCAGTATGAGATGCGACACAGTGGTCTTGGTTGAAGGGGTTCGAGCTTACACTCTAACACAGGCAAATGCGTAACTGGCTTAGCAAATCCCAGTAGCCAAAACACCATTTAACTTCAAAGATCGTTTTCTATGTTGATGCTACCGTGCAGCGTTTGCACTGCTTTTACAATGAGCAGTATGTTGCAGCTCACATTGGCCGCGGCTGTACCGCTAGAATTGCGCACATACCTGCTGCTCCTGTTTGAGTTGCAGGAGCTGCTGCTGGAACTGTAAGTGCTCCTGCTGCTGCTGCATGTCCCCTGTGGAGCCGGGCTGCACTGTGGCGGCGGCAGCCAGTGGGTGCTGCGGCTGTGGCTGGTGCAACGGCTGGGAACCACCTGGCAGCGAGGGAAGCCCACCAAGGAAGCCCATCACGCCATGCTGGTCTGCACCACGCGTTCGTACATGCACACACAGATACGTGTTCACATGCAGAGCCTTCACGAGCAATGGGATAAAGCAGTACACGAAAGGGGAGCACGGGCATGCACATTTGGGGGTAAAACGGACAGAGGGGAAAGATAACCTTGCATAGCTGTATTTCATCTGCTACATGGCACATTAATTAACAAGAAACCAGAAATTTAGGACTGACAGAAGCCTTTGAGGATAGAGGATATAAAAGTGCAACAAGACAAGCACACAGGAATCTGGATGACATGGCATCAAAGTCTTCATTTCTACATTTTCATGTTAGCATGCTGTCCCTCATGTTATGACAACTAGTGCATCGAAAGTATCAGCCAGAAGGACAGATAACAACACAGAGCAGAGGCTGACATACTCAAAATGAACATTGATTAAATTATTGTTTTGAAGATATGAGATACATATTACTTACACCAAAACTGGTACCATACTGGTTTACAGCATCGTTGTAAATGCAAGAATAGCATTCCTTTATTTCTATAGCACATTTCATTTGAGACGCTTTGTAGCATTGCACAAGATGTTACGGAGTCAACTCCAAGCCACTTTAAGGCATGAGGCAAAGGAGTGGGCACAGTAAATGTTCACAACATACTAAATGTTACGATTTTTCTTAAGAGAAATGGTGGCATATATTTTACATAAATGCATACAGCAGCAAACACTACGCAAGCTTTAAATGAAACACAAGCTATACAGAAATATCCTCGTTCTTTTGCTACTGCAGGACTACAGAAAGAGAACTAAGAATCACTTGCAGACTTTTGATCTCTTACCTTTTCTTTGAAGGTTGCTGTATGGAGGATTTATTTCCATAGTATGATGGGACCCCAGGTTTTCTGTGATATGAAAGAAAAATGATCAGAAAAAAGTTTGAGACATGGGTTGTCATGATTCTTATTCAATTTCAACATGCACTTGCACAAACTAGAGCCGTATTGTTACTATATTTTATGATGAAATGTATGAACAATGCACCCATGTATTGTAAATAAAAGACATTTAAAGATGAATTGAGCAACGGACTGCTTGACCAAACGTAAGGCACAAGTCAATGGGAAGGTCGTGAAAAGAATGTAGATCGAAGAACACATTCATAAAAAGTTTATGATTATGTACAATAAATTCCTCGGAAATACTGCATTGAATATTAAGCACCGTTACATGGTGTTATAATAAATAATGAAGAAATACTCATGTAACTCTCTTGTTCTGTTTGGAGCACAATGCACGCCAGCACGATGGAAATAGTAAAAAAAAAGTTTTTATAATTTATTCCGTAAAAGTACGAACTCCTATAAAAATGTGAACCTTAGGACGTCTCCAGGTTGGTTTGAGGTCCATGTACTCAATTGACACAAAAAGCCTATTGCGCCTTTTCTTCACAAACGGGAGCGGGGAGTACGTTATTGTTCGAATTTCAGGACCGGTTAGCAACACGAACGAAACGAATTCTAGACAATAAAACCGCCAACCAAACCATGACGTTGATCGATCTACGTCAGACAACCCAGACAATACTAAACGTAGGCAAGGCTCGCCAAAGGTTGCTTCACTGAATCATACGTGTGACTGTGGAGAAGACAGCTTCACGTAATAAGCAGCAGTGAAAATTAGCATTGACGTATATGAGATCCTGGCGAAAGCGAAAAAAAGCCTCGACAAAGAATTGAAGGGTATATTTTCACTTTTGAAATGAACAGGCCGCAAAAGAAGAAAAAAAAAACAACAAGAAAATCGGTACTCCTAAATGAAATTTGCAGCTGAACACCAGAATGTCGACATACTGTGTTCAACCATTGCTCACGCGGTAACGTAAAGAAAACGACTAAACGGCAGCGATGGATGGATGGATGGATGGATAGATGTGGCTGTACCCTTTAGATCGGGCGGCGGCTAACGCCACCTAGCCGTATAACGGTTGCGCACGCCTGTATAACACCTGTCAGCTCGCTCCCTCTAACGGCGCGATGTCGAACTATCAAGGGAAGCGGCGGCGCACGCGCATGAATAACACGTGCCATTGAAGAAGTCCCTAATAACTTCGTTATGCGCTTTTACACCGTCAAAGCAAACTGAAACGCGACAACGTTAAGAGGAGGCGTTCAACGCGTCATCGACATTTCACCTTTTATGCGCCACGCACGTGTCAATAAAAGAGTCATTCGGGCTTGGACAGCATCGAACTGTCGATTAGCACGTTCTCGTGGTTTCCTCCAGGCCCCCTCCCCAAATATGCGTTTTGAATTTGCGTCTCTAGCAAGCGTCAAGCGCGACTACTCCCAAACACTCCACGGTACGTGTCGAAATCGTCGGCAGCCACAGCGACGAGCTCGCTTACTGTCACTGCCGCCCACGCGCACGCGCACAACACGACCGCCGAGAGCGCGACCAGGAGGCAAGCCCCCGCACTCGCTTCCCGCCCAGGCAGTTTGGTGTTTTGAAAGCGTTCCGCTCGGCCGTCCGGGGAGACCCAAGCCGCGCAGGGGTAAACACGAGCCCCGTGTGTGCGCCCGCGGCTCTGAGAGGGCTCTCCCTCACCCCCCTTCCAGCCTCGCGTTGCGCCCTCTTCGCTCTGTTGCAGCCGCCAATCAATATGAGCGCGCTTTTTTCGGGATCTTGGGCGCTCGCCTCGGGTTCTGGGAAACGCCCGCTACGGAGATGGAACACGTGACGGCGAAGAGAGGGTGGTGAAAGAGGGAAGACGCACAGATATGTTGAAACGGGCACCGCAAGTAGTTCATTACCATCAATAAGCTCCGCGAGTCGGACCCGCAAATGAATTCGGCCTTTTACGCTAGCGTGCCATTATTCGCTAGGCGACGCGAACGAGCAGTTAAAACAATGAGCGCACACGAGAAAAACAAAGAAATAAAGAAACACAAGTGCTCAAACTGAAGTGACCCAGCGTTGCGCAAGCGACAAAGCGAAGGAACAAAAATCGTACTGTAACAACGAAAAGCCCAAACTACTCCGCGACAAGGCAAAGCAGTGACGACCGGGAAAAAAGCGTTATACATGTGATCAAACGTGCGGTCTCTCCACGCGACATCACTAGACAGCCACATTCCTCAAAATTAAATACTGCCTAAACCTAGCTTAGAGCATCATGTTATAAACGAAACGCATCCCGTCAACGGGCTATGACGCACGAAACAGCCCCAGCCGCGGCCACTGTTCGTGTGAACGTGCTCTTGTGCGCGCAAATCCACCTGGGCAGATGCAGTTGTGTTCAGAGACTAGACTGAGCAGGAACGTGACGAGTCAGAGGAAGAAAGTGCTTCAAGAAGCCCCACATGTCACGTGCCCTTATGGGCGCGGTTAGGCCATGGTTGATCGCAACTGTTATCGATGAGGGCTATCTTTGTGAACACGCAATTAAGAGCGAAATTTAAGACGCACAGAATTAATCGCGAATGAAGTGAAAGAGTTTCTTATACCCACTATGGCAGCAGTGAATCGATTCAAAACAAAATCAGCACTCACATAGTTAATTAAAAAAATGGAGGGGTGGCTAGCAACCGCTACACGAAGCTCGTAAAGAATATAAATAAAATAGTTTTAATTGAAGTCCATAAGGTGTTAGACCAACATCAAAAGAACGCTATCTTTTCGTTGTTTTTTTTTTTCGAGCCTTGTGGCACACTTGCCACCACCACGTTATAAGGGGCACGCTCATAGCATCCGCCCAACCACGACAGTAACGATTTCTTTACGCATTCGAAGGAACCTTCCTTCGAAACAAAGGCGGGGCCGCGTATGTTCGTCGAAACTGCGCGACAAGTTCTTAAAGAAAAGCGAAGATGAGCGTTTGACACGAAGTGTGGCATTTTGGCCTAGTTGGTGCGACATGACGATAGTTATAGCGCGAGAACAACGACGACAAAGAGACAAGAAGGACACGAGCTGGAAGTTGGCGCTGGAAGGACGCATGGTTGGAAGTTAGCGCTCGTGTCCTTCTTGTCTCTTTGTCGTTGTTCTGTTCTCGCGCTACAACTATCATTTTGACACGAACAACGAAACTGTGGCTCGCCGGTCGTCCCGCGACGATCGATGACAGAAAACGTCGGCTTCGCACCCAACAAAGGAGCATTGCGTTGCGTGGTTAGCTGCAGCCGCGGTTTTAGCAGTACGTAGAATACACTTCCAAGAAGAACATCAAGATTGATGGGATGAGAGAGATGCGAAGAAAGTGACCAGACAATTCTCACATTTGATCACGTTTACTTTTTTCTTTATTTGCTGCGCGCAGAAAAAAAAAAAACCACAATGACCCGATGGCTTTTTAACGTTCAACTTCGTTCCGCGTTCGCTCACGGGCAACGTGCTCCGACTCTTGACGGAAAATAAAACAGCAAACTGGAACTTCAAAGGAACAAAGGCACCACTATAGCGACAATGTCACAGAAGTGCCGTGCAGAGAGAACTGGAGAAAATCGAAAACAATGAGTATGAAAGCGTCCATGCATGTCGCGAAATTCGAGACAATACGCAGCAGTGGTACGAAAAAAAAAAAAGAACAAGACTACACATAAAAGTCGCACCAGTAATGCAGGAACGCGATGTTAGTGTACCTTTTATTTTGAAACGGCGCGCACCGCACGTGGTCCTACCACAGCGGTTCCGTTTTAGCAACAGCTTGACCTTGCAGCGGGCCGCCGCCATTGGTCCGTTCGGTTAACTCGAAGTGCGGGGGAGAGACGCGCGCACTCTCGCGCAGCAACAGCAAACGCCCCCGCATTGCGCGTGCGCGGTTCAATCGCTCGCGAGCACACAACGGACACACGAAAGAGTCGCTCGTTAAAAGTCGTACTAGGGACTGTAGTCGTACTCGGCACAAGCCAGCCAGAGGCGCGCTAGCGCTTCTAAATATAGCCGCAGTAAACGAAACGCGCGGAGCGGGCGTAGTTGGGAAGGCATGGAGAGGAGGAACTGCGGCTCGAGGGGAGAGGGGGCATGCATATCTCGCGGGGTGTGGAGAAAATAAAAATAACGCGAGTGACGGATAGGGTGCGATGGAACGAGGCAGAGAGGGCCACGCGCGTATCGATCGGCCTGTACTAAGCGAGCCACGAAAGACCACGCGTGCGTGAATGTGAGGCACAAAAGGAGAGAGACAGAGAGAACCCGTTGCTACAACGCGGCGCGTTTCGAAAGAGCTTCAAGTTCTCCTCGGTGACACCCACGCATCCGGCATGAGCACTAAAGCCTATTAGTGGTGGTGAACGAGTGGAGGGGAGGAGGCACGCATGGCGCGCTACCATCCACCCACACGCATGCTCGCTTGTTGTTGTTCTGTTGCGTGTCCCCAGGAGCCAAGAATAGCCCTTCTCTGAAGGCCGAGCGCCGCATATAGTAGCTCGATATACGACATTAATCAGGAGACTGCCGCCGCTGTTTCCTGCGCGCTGCCTAGAAACGCCGATCTCTTTCCTCTTATTCGCAAACGCACACTCTCCCCATTCCCCTCACCCACTTCTTTTTTTTTTTTCTCCTCGTACGCTTAAGCACGACCATTCGGAGGAAACTAGAGAAAGAAGAGTCAGCGAGTGAGTGGGCAAGACCTGGCGTGGCGCGGTAAGTTGCGACACCAACGATCAATGAAAAGCTATCGTATTCGGTATTTCCTTCGAGCGAAAGAATTGGTCAGCTTGACACGCTTTTTCTCTTCTTTTTTTTTTTCATCCCCTTTATACCTTCCCATCGCGAATGGCAAAACGACTGTCAAGCGACAAGAACGGTCCAGAGGTTTCTTCTGGGTTTCCAAGAATTATGTAATAACACGGTCCAACGACCAACATAAACTTCACAAGCTCTATCGAATGGATATTCTGGAGTA